ACAGATTAGGTTGGTTGAACCGTAGGATGAAAAAAGTAAAATATTTGGGGTCATTTAATCATTTCCTTACGTTTGAACTTGTAGGAATGAAAAAAAATGACACCCCACCCTCAAGATTCAAATAGTCTTGGATATCCAACACTTACGCTTTTTTATATCATGTCAAATCTAATATTGAGGGGCCCCAATCTTGGTTACAAATGCAAGATTAATTGAAGATTTAGTGCTTGATTGCATATCAGAAATCTAAACGAAATTCAATTATTTTTAATTCAACCATTTTTGTAACTCAACTTTAACTCAACCACACTATCATCAATATTCCCAATATAATTAAATAACATCAATCAATCATTCTTAATATCACACCAACTTTAATTTACTAATCATTCACTTGCATAATTCTAACTATCATCACTTCTAATCACATTTCTCATACTTTTACATCAAATCCATTTTAATTATTTATTTTAAATATTATTTTAATGAAAACTGAAAATTCTACCAGCTTAACTCAACCAACTTTTTCAAAATTAACCTTGATTAATTAAAAAAAGTTAACAAAATCAAAACATCTTATATCCAAGCATCTCCTAAAGGCCTAAATAAAATTAAATTGTACCAAAGTTTTGTATTTTTGCATTAAATTTATTGTTACAATCTCTATTATACAAAAGTTTTATGAAGTATACTACTAATTTAGGACATAAACTAGTACGAATCACGTGCGATGCACGGGTAAAAAATATTCTTTAATATTTATAAATTAAAAATATGGAATCAATATGTAATTCAACTTACCTATATTAATTTGTTGAAAATGTTATATAAAATATAAATTGTGCAAATTATATTAAATATGTCTATTTAAAATTAGTACATGGCTCGTACGGTGCAAGTAACTAATAATAAATTACATTATATTCATTTAGAAACATGTATCATTTTAAAATTTTTATTCAGAAGTTCGATTTGACTATAGTGTGATTTGATATGTTTCCACACACATTTACAAAGAAGTATCGACTATAGTATTCTTCAGATTTTTCTCTCATTAATATCGATTAAAATGCTTAGCAACATCAAAAAAATATTGAGACATATTGGATTAATACACAGTATACCAAATAATTCGATTTCATACTTTATTGATAAAATACAAAAAATAGTATTCACTTTTACCACAAAATTAATTGTCAAGCGTACAAAACAAAATCGAGACCCACATTTTTTATAGATAAAAATAAAAAGACCCAAAAAACAGTTATTAAAAAATAAATTAAATAAAACCTGCCATTAATGCAATTATTGTTGAATAATTTTTTAAACAAAATTATGATTGAATAAATCAACCAAATTGACTTATAGACTGTATAAATTTTTATGGTCTAATAATTTCCTTAATTATCCATTATTTGAGTAATTAAATACACAAAAAAATAAATAACAATTATTAAATAATATTTAAATAAAAACTATCATTAACACAATTTTTGCAAATTGCATAATTGATTATTATAGTTGATATTTTCATGATTCTAGAAATTATTTTCATATTGAATCATTCAGTCATAATTACAAAATTTGCATAATTAAGGTATATTAAATATGCATTTCACAAAAGAATTACACGAAAAATAAAAAACACTTATAAAATAATTAATTACACAATTTAGTTAGAAGATTTTTACCAAATCACATAATTCCGGCCGAAATTCTCATATTTAGGTAAATCAGGCAAATTCATATGATTTGAGTAATTAAGTTATCTTAAAAATGATTTTTTTTATGACTTCTATCATTTCCTTTATAAGTGATTATTTGAAATATAGGATAAATTGTTAAATTAATTTCCTGAAATAGTAAATAAATATTTTTTGGAGGGAAATAATTACTATTTAAAAAATAATCAAACCTTTTTATATAAAGATTGTTGATTATAAATAGTAACATTTCTTGATTAATGTTCCTACATTTCCTGTTTTATTAAACTGTGTTGACTACGTACTCTTACTCTCCTCTGACACCCACACCACCTTCTCTCTTAACCATATGCATCGTTTCTTTAGTCTTCTTTAATTTCCCTTTTCTTTTCTCCCCTCATAATTTTTGTTTGTGTTCTCGCCGCCCGTCGCCCGGAAAATTTCATTTCCGGCGGTCCGCAGCTACACTTTTTCTTTCTTTCACTCTGTTGTACGAAATTTCCGGAGCCGATCAAGCTCGGTCGCTCGCACTCGCTTCGAACTTTGAGCTCTTGGAGAAAAGACGGTGCGAAATTCGAGACCTCATTAATTATATTTTCCAGTTGGGTTTCTTTTTTTGGATCTGGATGTTTAGAAATTTGGGTTGCTGTAGTTGATCATTTAAAGGGAGGGAAAAAATAAGGCGGGCCGCCGGGTGGATGGTGATTTCAGGTTTTCGTGGTGGCGGGATGGCGGCGGCGTCAGCGACGTTGGGGCGGTGAGAGATTCAGATGGGATGACAGATATTGCCAGTAGCAACTCAGAACGTGACATTGAACAGGTAAGTCTGAAATTAATTCCTCTGTGTGTTAATTGAGGTTGTCTGATTTTTTATGGGCATTAATATTTACCGCCACCCTATTACAAGTCACCGCCCCCTTGGACGATTTTGCCTTTTTTATTTTTTCCAAACATCTCACAGCAAAGTCTACGGCGAAATGTCTTCAAATTCAGTGGTACGAAAATTTCACTATCCGGTCGGCGAAACCGGACGGCTTTTAGACCGTCTGACCGGAGAAACCGGACAACTCTTAGACCGTCCAGCCGGACGGTTCGAACGGCATAAAAGCTGTCCGGTTTAGCCGGCCGGACGGCCTAAAAAACGTCCGAACCAGCCGGCGGGACGTTCTAAAAATCGTCCGACGGCGAGGGCCGGTCACGACGGTCCGTCCGGTTCGACAGGCCGGACATTTTTTTTTTAAATTATTATGTTATATATTCGTAATAATTTTGTTATAAATTGGACTTTAGATATTATCGTGTTAGGAGTTAGAAATTATTATGTTACATGTTAGACTTGGTTCTATTATAAATTGGACTTTAGATATTATCGTTTTAGGAGTTACAAATTACTATGTTACATGTTAGACTTGATTATGTTATAAAATGGACGTTAGATACTATCGTGTTAGGAGTTACAAATTATTATATAACATGTTGAACTTGATTATGCTATAAATTGAACGTTAGATATTATCTTATTATGAGTTACAAATTATTATGTTACATGTTATTCTTGGTTATGTTATAAATTGGACGTTAGATACTATCGTGTTAGGAGTTACAAATTATTATGTTACATGTTAGACTTGATTATGTTATAAATTGGACGTTATATATTATCGTGTTAGGAGTTACAAATTATTGTGTTACATGTTAAACTTCATTATGCTATAAATTGGACGTTAAATAATATCAGGTTATGAGTTAAGAATTATTATGTTACATTTTAGAATTAATTATCTTATACATTAGAATGGATAGATTACAATTTAACATGTTTTAAAAACATAAATATTGTACTATATAGTAGGAGTCATGGGAAGATTTTGGAGGAGATGGTATTGATTACAGTTTCAGTTTCGATACCCATACATTATTTATTAGTGATGCGGAGGCTATTGAATCTGCAAAAACCAGGCAATACTAAATGGTTTCCTATTAGTAATTTCGAAACACAAAAAAAAAGGGTTAAGCTTTTGAAGTGCCATAGAGGCGAACGCTACAGAGGCAAATGCGGAAATTTTAGAAAGACAAAAACGAATAAGTGCAATTGCCCTTTTGAGATAAAAGTAAAAAAGGTGTCAGGCGAGCCATACTGAATGATCTGTAGATGTAGCAAGGAAGAGAAGGGCTACCATAACCATTCATTTGCTGTGTATCCTGAGGGTCATCGACAGTTGAGCGGTCTCAGCGCTTCATCTAAGAATATTATTCGCGATATGACTGACGCTCAAGTGGCCCCGGCAAAAATTATGGCCGCGCTGAAGGAAAAGAATCCGGGAGACAACCTTGATCGGCGACAGGTATATATATTTATATTTTGTAATATATGTTCTAATTAACTTTTTGAAGTTAATTATAATAATTAGTAATTTTTTTATATCTAAAAGTTATTGTAATGATTAATAAATTTTATTATATTTAGTAATGTATTATTATTATGATAGTTAATAATTTTTTTATCAAATAAATTAATTAATATACTTTTTTATTTATTAATATAATAATTTTTTTGTTTAAAATTATAATAATCATTATAATTAACGCTAATCGGTGACAGGTATATAACTTTAGAGATAAGCTGCGGAAAGAGAGTTTCGAGGGAAGAGACGTTCCTTCCCAACTTATGCATTTGGCCATGGGAAGCCAATATACAGTTTTTGCAGATGACGATCCGAACACGAAAGCGTTGACGCATATATTCATGGCCCATCCTGCATCGGTCAATCTATTCCGAACATATCATTGGTATGTCGGCATAGATTCAACGTACAAAACCAACAGGTATGTTACTTTATAAATACTTTCTTAGTATGAATCTTAAATAGTGTGTTTGATTAAGTTAAGTTTTTATGTGATTATATTTTTTGTCTTCTTGGTCTCATTTGCACAGGTATAAGATGCCGTTGGTCGAGATGATTGAGATGACGCCGTGCAACAAGAACTTCCTAATTGCGTATGCGCTCATCAGGGACGAGAAAGAGGTCAGTTACGACTGAGTTTTACATAAGTTGAGACTTCTGATAGGCCAAGACATATATCCTAATGTGGTTGTCAGTGACAGAGAGTTGGGTTTAATCACTCCTATTCAGAGGCATTTTTACGAATCAGCCCACTTACTCTGCACGTGGCACATCAACAAAGATGTGGAAGACAAAGCCTACAAACTCTTTGGGAAAAGTAAAAAATTCTCGCAGCTGTTCACGCACGGTACGTTCAAAAAAATTTCCGAGGCCAGTACGTTCGATGACTACAACGATGCCGTTGCCGATATACTCAACGTCTCCACAAGTTGTACAATATGTGGAGAACACATGGTTAGGGCACAAGGAGAAGTTTGTGAAAGCTTGGACCAACCGCATAACACATTTTGGAAACACAACTTCCTGTAGGGTGGAGAATGCCCACTCTGTGTTGAAGCAGTGGCTTTACACGTCCACCGGCACGCTCGATACAATTTGGCAGAAGATTAATAAGCAGATCGATTCTCAATTGACTGAAATCAGGTACATACTGCAATTTTTAACTGTGTTATTATATTACTGCATTAATTTTAATCTAATATTATGTATGTATAATTGGGTCGGCCCTTGAGGCTTCGAGATCTAAGAAGAGTACTTCATATAAGGGAATCTTTTTCACGAGCGTGATACTGAGGGTCTTGCATTACTGCCTGAGTTTATTGGACTCTGAGCTTACGAGGATGGATGACTTGAGCATCGAGGTTTACGAGCGCTGCGGCTGTGTATTGCAAGTGACTCATGGACTTCCTTGTGTCTGTCTGCTTCGTACGGCAAATGATTTTGGTCATCCGATTGATCTCGAAATTATTCACCCGTTCTGAACAACACTACAGATGTTAGAGCCAGGTAAATTTCTACTTGCTGTTTCATTTTTAATTACAATTTTTGTAATTAAAGTACATTATTTTGTTTAATTCATCGAATTTTTTATCGTATACCTGTAGGGACTGGTCACCAGAGCCAGGCGAGCCAGGGTGCATGGTCTGATGCAGAATTTCGGACGCTTGTGAATGAGGTTGAAACCAGCGATCCCGCGATGATGCAGTACATGAATCAGTTCATGTACAGTCATCTCTACCCAGACTAACGGGATTATGCGGAACCTGAGGTTAAGGAAAACTCGCGAGGTCGTCCCAAGAAAACTAATTCAACTAAGCGTAAACCATCTGCTTGGGAGTACAACGATAGATCGCGAGGTCGGAAATCGAGCCGTACGACCACTTTTTCGCGTGGACAGACAAGCTCGTCTTCTCAACAGTCGCAAGAGGCACCAGGTGATCTATATTTTTTTTATAGGTGAACATTAATTAAAGTATTATATAATTATATAATTTGTGACGTGAAATTATTATGATATTGCAGAGATTAGACCGACAAATATATTTGATTTACGCAGTGGCAAAATATCCCCTGGTTTATGTTGGACTACGTAGTGAGTTACCTGAATATGGAGGCGGATGGGAACTATGGATTTCGGGTCATCGCGAGTTACGTGTATGATAATTAAAAGTATTGGCCAGTCGTAAGAGACAACATTGCGAATGAGGTTGAAAGCCATTGTACCTTGTACGGCTACATCTATTTTAGGGATATCGGCATCGGACTCGGTCGAATAAGGTGGGACGAGACCCTTGTGGACCGACTCACTGGTTCTAAGTTCCGCAGGACCTATACCTGTTGCAACACTATTTAATGCGGTTGTCGTTTTGTTGAGCTGTGGTCCGTGAGGTGGGCAGAATGACATGTTCAGATGCACAGTGTTGCCGCTCTGTGCACGATTATCGGCTAGAGGACCATGTCGTGAGATTTCATGTGTCATCTTGGTAGCAACCCACACTACATTCATTTAGATTTGACTCCTGATTGTCCATTACTGCCTATTCATCGCATGTGGTTCACTCACCGAGATCAATCGGTTGTAGGTTGGGAGGATCAGTACTAAGCTAGGTTGCAATCGTGGTTTACTATTCAAACTAGACCTTATTGAATAAAAGAACGATATTATTCAGTTGTGGTATGACGCTTATCATTCAACTTAAGTTTAGTAAAAAAAAAAAAAACATTCAACTTAATGATTTACAATAAGAAAAAAAAAAAAAAACCATTCAACTTAATGTTTTACAAATAATAAATAAAAAAAAACCATTCAACTTAATGTTTTACAATAATAATAATAATAAAAAACATTCATTACATCATTATTGGGCATTGTCGCAATCCAACTTAAACTTAGCCAATTCTTCTTGGACTTGCGCCGTCACTGGACATTCGCATCCCTGCTGCCAAATCGATGTAATGCCAAAAAGACGGTCTACCCACTAAAAAAATTGAAGAATAACAAGATATGGCTAAAATTTATTAAAAAAATATTATTGTAATGAAATAACATTGATTATAATTTAGTAAACGACTTACATAGGCGGTATTGGCACGCGTAGGGACCTCGTTCTCGTCCGGCAGCTCCTCGCCCATGACAGTCGGATGGGAAACCCGACCGTACCACTACAAGTAGTCCTCAGTCGCCTCCCCGCGATCATGTGTCGTGTGGGTGAACATACTGGTGTTGCAACTGTGCGAAAACGGGAACTGGGTCCAGGCACCTACTGCACCAGCTTCAGCATGCTCAACCCTATAGTTCCTAGACTCCCAAGCACGTACTACACTGATTGGCAGGTATATAAAGGGAGGGACAGTCTGGACATACCCCAACTGACGCAGAAACCGCACAGGCAAGTACGGCTCGACAATATCGCGG